CTATACCTCCTAAACGATGCACCAAAACGGAAAATGTATTCTTTAATGAATTAAAGGACGTTAAATTTTGAGTCAAATGAGTACACAAACTTTAAAATTTGTTATGCGTTAAGGTATAAAGCCACGGTCAACCAACGCTGATTTTTACCAAATTTGTCAAAAACTGAGACAAATTACTATAAATGGTCCTGTAACTTGAAAATGAGTTCCCTAAGAGGAAAAACCCATGAAATCAAAGTTGTATAGCATCAAATTTTGCTTCAACTGAGTACTGACATTTTTATTTTGGGTACCTATCCTTCCATAACAAACCATCCGATCCCTCTCGTTTTAAACCTTACTTCCTCTTCGATACCTGATAACCCTCCAAGATGTCTGAAAATAAGATGGCCTCGTGATCTACTTATATTATTAGAGTGCTACCAATGGGTAGTTTCTCAACAAGCGTTTTCATATGATTGTATTATTACTATGTGCACATTTACTGGATGTATTTTTAAATTTATACAGTTGTAAATCTTATGAATAAATAAAAAAAAGCATTATAATATAGTTTTATGAGCTTATAACATTGTAGACTATATTCTAAAAATGAAATTAAACTATATTCTGTTGTGGATTCTGTCTTGACACTACCGGTTTTAGTTCAAGTCTGTTCATTTAGATTTCAGTGGCTAGGAGGGTTGAAACATTAATTGTTCAGTATAGATTTTACCACATCCGATCAACTTCAATCGTATAGGCGTGAGTTTTTTTAATGATTTGGATGGTTTTTCTGGATGGTTCCAATCAAAATCGAAATTATGCGCCCATGATACAGTTATGTATATAGACTTCTAAAAACTACGTTTTCGATTGAATTACCGTTTCATTTCTAGGCAAACAAAAATGGTTATTTTATTATTTCCAATTTTTATTCTCGTGTTTCAGAGATATGTTCGCCTAGCCATTCCTAGTGAACACACCTCATATAAAATGATCAATATTTTCTTATAGCCTATTATGATAATATAGTATATTCATCAAACATAATAAGTAGCGATGGGAACATGATAATGACTTACTGCATAGAAATTACAGAAACAAAGCTGTTCAGATTTTAATCTCGATGTCGGGCGTTTCAACTTTTCATGGGTGGAACACGCAACTGAAATTCGATACCCGGCCCACTTACCTATTTGCTTGTTTACTATTGTTCTATCCTACCATATTTCACTAGAAAATGTATAAAAAAACGTGAAACTTTGTTTTCCCTTTGAGAGATGTTTGGTATTCTCCGTCATAAGGTGACGGAATATTTAGTTATTTATACATGTTTTGGGCTCTTCAACCACTTGGGTCATTTTCGCCCTATATTACAATTTGATGAATTACTACACACATAACTCAACTATAGCTAAGAAATACAATTTAAAGTTTGAAAAGTTAAGAATAATTACAGATGATTATGATAGTACAATTGAACTAAAATTATAAAAATTGAAACTTAAAGATTTAATAGAAGATAAGATAACAGAGACTATAAGAATAAAGATTAATGATATTAAGAATAAAAGCTAAAAAATACATTTTTAAATAATAAAAGTTAATACTAATAGAGGCAAAGTTAAAGAATACAGTTTAAACATTAGAAAGTACAAGCACCATTAAAATTAAACATTAAAGATTAGAGAAAGATAAGTTAACAGTTAACAAGGATATTTAAATAAAAGGTTAATGATTTCAGGAATATAATCTAAAAATACAGTTTAAAAAACAAAATTAATATTAAAAGAAGAAAAGTTAGGAAGTACAATTTAAATATTAAAAATTACGAGAAGAAAAATTGAAAAACCATTATAGTTAAAAATTATGATTAAAAGAAAAAAAATTAACAGGTATATTTACAATTTAAAGAGGAACCTACAAACTTAAAAAACTTAACATTTACAATTACAAGGTGTGATTAAATTTTGTTAAATATTTTGATTTCCTTAAGGAACAATATTAAGTTTTTAATAGCATTGGGGTCCTTTTGGAGTGATTCTTCAAGGCTATTTCTGAGAAGATGTTGATCCCTAGGAGATTGGAATGCATAACATTCGGTTAGGATATGGTTCACTGTGAGAGGTACCCCGCAGGAAAGACATTGAGTAGGAGAATCTTTCCTCATTAAGTACTCGTGAGTAAGCCTAGTGTATCCGATCCTTAAATAGCTTAAACGTATAGGATGTGATCGGAAAAATCCGAACTCTAAAGCAACGAGTCCCTAACATCCAAGTGAACAATTAACCAGCCAACGTTTCGCCAATCAAGGTATCTTCATAAAAGAAAAAAAATCACATATATGCAGAAAGAAAAAAAAATTAAAGAAAGAAAGATAAAAAATATTACTGGAGGCATCTCATAAAGCTATCCCAATATATACTAAAGGGAACAGAAGGTTGCATAAACAACAGAGGAATACTATATTGAACAGCTGATTAGAAATGATAAAAGGAAAAAAATACTCGTATCTAACATATATTAATATAAAAATGTGTCATTATATTATTTAATATGTTATTCTTCAATTTAATAATAAAAAAAAAATAAATGCAAAAAAAAAAAGTTCCAAGGTTCACTATATGTTAGTGACCGATAGCTTTATAGTTTGGATTTTTCCAATTAAATCCTTGTTAGTTTCTCTCTTTTTGAACTATATGTTCATTTGTAGAAGTATTACTTGTGGAGAATCCGTCTATCGATTGAAGTCGATTGAGTGGATTTTATATACATCTTGGAACATTTTCTATTGTTTTTATTAATTAATTTTTTTATATTAAATTGAATTAACGCATTTTTATATTATTATATTTCTAGTATTAGCAATGTTTTCCATATTATCTCTTCTAATTAGCTGTTTAATGTGACCTGCATCTGCCGTGTTTATACAACCTTCCGTTTCCATCAGTACGTATTTGTATGGTTTGGTAAAATATGGATTTTGTTTATTTTTTCTTTCTTTTATTATATTTTATCTTTCTTAATACATGTGATATATACAAATTTTCTGTCCTGATGATTTCTGAATTTGCTAAACTTCGCTGGTTTACTGTACTCTTGTATTGTAGAAACTCATGGCTTTGTAGTACGGATTTTTTCCAATTATTATATTCTTATTAGTTTATGTATCTTTTCAATCCATATGTCAATTTATAGTAACACACACACACATATATATATAGTAACAAGAAACCGTGTGTTTTTTAGTGCTTTTTGTGTGAATATTGACTGAATATTATAATGTAGTAACAATTAACATTAAATTGTAGGATCAATATTATTTAATACATATGTATGTGTATATTCTTCATTCTCACGTGGAAATATCAGTTGCTAAAGTTGTTACAATAATAGATTCGCTAATAATAATAATCATTATCACAAAATCTGATATTTTTTAGTTAAATTAAGTAATAACCTTAGACCGTCCGGATAATTCGTATACGGAATTCTCATTATTCGTAACAACCATAAAATATTATAAAATCGATGTTTGTTGGTAAAATAATTAACAAATTCAGATAAAATGCCAGTTTATGGGGGTAACATAAATAGTTACAGAAGAAATATAAATAAATATTAAAAATAATATTTATTAAAACAGAAACATGAAATTAATTAAGAATTAAATGTAGACTTTTAAAGAGTGAAAATTATGCATTTCTTAAGTTAAAACACTAAATTCTAAGAGCAATATTTCAATGTTGATAAAAAATATTGACATTTTTCTCAATTACTTCTATATATTAATTTTATCTCTTTAATATTTTTTTTAGTTCAAACTTTACGCACATTTCATAAAAGAGAAAATGTGTATTTTTATAAAATCATTAAGTAAGTAAGAAAATGGGTTTAATTTTACATTTTGTTTTCACTCTTTAATCGTTATAGTTTAATTTAGAAGCTGATACGAAAATTAATGAAATAATTCCTGCTGATATTTCTGGCTAACCAGTAATATGTTATACAAGGTTTTCAGGGTTAAGTGGTCAAACTGAAAAAAAAATGAACTAAATACCTAAATAAAAACTAAATAACTAAATAAAAACGAGAAAATAATTTCCTTTGAAGGTATGTCCGCAAACGCTTTATTTACGAGATATTCACAGCTAAAGATTTTCGTTGTTATGATTTATTTACTTTAAATGAAATAAATAAAACCTATCTATTTGTTCTAACTACTTTATTAATTATATGCAAACATTAACATTCATATTAAATGTTGTTCAAAGTGATTTCCTTGAGCATTAAGACAGGCTCGGCATCTTTCTTCAACAGCAGCAGTGGCAGAACGGCACTGGATATGTGTTATTGTTTCACAAGATTCAATAATCCTTCTTCGTAAGGAATTAAGGTCATTGACCGGTCTTGCAAAGACTTTTTGTTTAATGTCACCCAAAAAAACAGTAGTGTCACGTCTGTGGAGCGTGCAGGCCAAGCCACTGGTCCTGCACGGCCAATCCAATTGATACTGGATATGATTAAGCAAGTCCGGTCAATGACCTTAATTCGTTACGAAAAAGAATAATTGAATCTTATAAAACAATAACACATATCCAGTGCCGTTCTGCCACTGCTGCTGTTGAAGAAAGATGCCGAGCCTGTCTTAATACTCAAGTAAATCACTTGGTATGAATATTAATGTTTGCATATAATTAATAAAGTAGTTACAACAAATAAATAGGTTTTATTTATTTCATATAAAGTAAATAATTCATAACAACGAAAATCTGTTGGTGTGAATATCTTCTAAACAAAGCATTTGCGGATATACCTTCAGAGGAAATTTTTTTCTTGTTTTGATATCCTTAGTACATTTTTGCAGTTTGGCCACTTAACCTGAAACACCGTGTATATATAATGTTTAAAACGAACTAAAAATATACAAGCACATAGTAAATGGCGAAAGCTCAACACCTCTTTAATATTGAATATCTCATAATTATATTAGTATTATTGGAAGAAAATAACGATACCTTTTTGACAGCCATTCCCAAACAAGATGAGTGAATCCCAGTTTTTGGCGTAATTTATAAAACAGCAAGTAGTTCCCTAGAAAAGGTATCCAACGAGGACCTGCAGAAAAAAAAAAGATTTAATATATATTTTTTTTTTTGGCAACCAATGTAACTAGCATTGAGCTAGTTATAATGGTTTTAAATAAACTTTATGACTGTATTAATATATACCATGGGGAGTATACATATATCAAGAATTATATTAATATATATATATATATATATATATATATATATATATATATATATATATATATATCTTATATTTCATTCCCCATGGAATATATATTACATATATAAAAGAGAGTCCTGGATCTACTATCATATATTATATATATATATGAATGGAGAGTCACCATAGGCGGATCTACGGGGAGGGAGGGGGGCTTACGGGCTGAAGCCCTCCTCCCCCAAAAACGGTAAAATATAACCATGTTTTATAGAAAAAAATATTAAAAACTATCTCTTAAAGTATTTTGTTCGTGTAATTACATTTAATAGGACTTCAAGAATCACTTAAACACCATTTCATATAGGTAGTTAATATCTTCCTTTTTTTTCAAATTAATTATTGTTGTATATATATATATATATATATATATATATATATATATATATATATATATATATATAAATCTTTCGGGCTGAAGCCCCCCCCCAAAATTAATTCCTGGATCCGCTATTGCTGTACACTCACACTCCACGAAAAGAAGCTATTGAAGATGTGGAAAAGAAAAATCCTGTGTAAAATCTATGGCCCAAACAAAGCAGAAAATCTTTGGCGGATAAGAAGATTGAAGAGCTGAAGAAGGTATATATGGCCTAGATATTATAAACACAAAAAGGGGAAGGATAAGATGGTTGGGTCACGTGCAGAGTATGGAGCATAGCTGGCATCCTCCCTGAAATGATGATGGAAGGACATCCCGGTGGAAGAACAAACAGATGTCGAAAACGATCTTATGAGCCTAGGTGTAGTAGGATAAGTCGGAGAGGCGGTTAAAGACAGGTTAGTTTGGAGGAAGATAGTTGAGGAGGTTCTGGAAGGACGATAGCAGCCATTGGTGATGATGATGTGGTTGATTCCATTACCCACAATGTTTAATATATCAAAATAACATCAATCGATAAAATAAAATACAAAAAACATTAATGTATTTTAAAAAATGAACAAAAACTGTTGTCTGCTGCAGATTGACAAGTTTTCAACATAACATTCAATATATATACTTTTTTTTTTTTTTTTTTTTTTTTTTTTTTTACAATGACCACTATATATTTTTTATTGAAAATGTTACAATCTGTCTCGAAGGACAGAATATATATTTTAATAATTAATTGTAGGCGTGAATGATGCTTTTAAAAAATAGTAATTTATTAATATCACAGGGTTTTGGTTATTTTTTTAAAAATCATCATTGTTGTTTTGGGTAGCATGCTGCAAGCAGACGAGTTTTTAATTCAAGTATTTTAAATTCTATTTGTAAACTACATTCAACTTGTTTTATAACTAGTTATAACCCATATAGCTTCTAATGAAATTTTAATTCTAATTTCAAAATGTGTGAACTTAATAAAGGAAAACAATATAAAATAATAACGTGTATTACACTTAAGTTTTTCGTTTTATCTGTAGAAATTACTTTTATTCATTTATATATAATAAAGATATTTGTATATTTATAAACTTAATTTTATTGGTACCTTCTACATTTAAAAAAAATTATAAACAGTAACCCAACATCAATTCACTTTAAAGAAAAAAAAAAAAATAACTATAAATGTGCCCGAATGTGAAAATAAGTTGTGAGACCTATACAGTAGATTTTTTTTTTTTTTTTAAATAATATCATTGTAATTTGATTTAATCCGCAAGTTATACTTTTCAATATAACATGAATACATATATATATATATAGAATAGAATAGAATAGAATAGAATAGAATAGAATAGAAAATAGAACTTTATTCTGGGACTAAGTCCCCTTAGAATAACAAAGATGAATTAATACAAAAAAAAAATACCAATCTGGCCAAAAACTAACTTAAAAAAATTCTAACGTAATATACATTATTTAAAATGTAGTATGTAACCACTAAGAAATAAACAAAAAAAAAATATACACATATATAAACACACGTACATATATATACATACAGACACATAAACATATATATACATACATACACATACATACATATATAAATGAACATACAATCTTCTCCAAATTTACTTATTATTACGATAAAAAAAAAAGAAAAAAAAAGACAGAAAAGAAATTACATATCTATATATACATAACTGCACAATTTATAAATAATAGGATATCTAATAGAAACATAATTTAATACAAAATGTAATAATATTTACAGTGATTCATAAAATAAATATATATATTGGATGAAAAATAAAATATAAATAAGATGATTTATATTTTCATAAAATAAATATATAGATTGGATGAATAAGAAAATATAAAATCATATATTATATAAATATATATATATATATATATATATATATATATATATATATATATATATATATATATTGTTTATAATATATGATCACATATTTTCAGGAATAATTTTGTTTTAACGACGACTATAATTCTTCTGAGTTTTTGTCATTTAACAATTATTTATTTTTAATAAATAATAATTTATCAAACACGAATTTAATTAATGAAAAATATATCGATCTTCAACAATCATAGACATAATCTTTGTTCATATTATTGTAAATTTAATATTAATTTTAATTAAAGTCTTATAGAATTGTCCTTTTTCTTCTTCTTTTGTTTTAGTGGATATTTCTGTTAATGTTGTTTTCAATTTATTATAAAAAATCATCTTATGTAACATTTTTAGTAATTTATTAAACTACAGTATGCAAATTTGACTTTAATTGGATTATATCAACATATAATATAGAATACAGCATTCGATACAGGAGTCCAAGACAATATTGAGTGAACCATTTTTTTTTTTTTTTTTGGAATAAACAAAATTAACATTACATAATAATTTTATTATTGCTTGAACTAAAATTATTTATTTAAAAATAGGAACTAAGCAATCTGAGCTATTCAAATTGTTATTCAGATCATACTACAGTTCCATGAACGGAAGTTTAATAATAAAGAATTTTACAAATAATTTCATTCAAAATTTATGAAAAAAACTTTTCCAGGTAGGAAGATTTATCTGTATTTATATAAGATGATTTATTAAACTTGAAAATAAAGTGTATAATTTCACTAAAATTTACAAATGTTTAATTGTATTTTTTTTTAAGAGGAAACATTTTTGGTATTTAATATATATGTTTTTAATTTATTATAACCCATTTATCGACTTTTCGGACTCTTGGTCCGCTTCATGGACAGTTTTTCTTTTAAGAAAACAATACAATTAGGTTTTAAACCACTTACTTCAACAAATAAAAATAAAAACGTTGTTATAATTAATTATGTGTAACATTTCACCTTATTTATATTTTCTTTTTCATCCAAGAAAAAATTCAATCCTAACTGAATACAAATATAAATTTAAAAAAAAATTGTCAAACGATTTCTTTTAGTCGTTTCATTGACACGAAAATTAAAAATAAATTTTTATGTTTCAATTTTTATTACTTTTTCCCCTCTCCCCCCCCCCCGAATCATACATCTTTTTGTATCTCCAAAACAATCCTCATTCAATTTTTTTTTATTATTAAAAAATAGGCCTTGAAGTTTCATTTTTTCCAAATGTGACGCCATTCAAGTTTCAATGTTTTCTAATTACTAAAGGAATGATCAGTGATTTTTGGAAATATATTCTACCAATAAATAATTTCTTATTTTTGTTTTTACTTTCACTTACGTAATATATAGTAAGGGTAAGTATTAGGTCTTATTCCCGTTGATGTCACTTTACAGGGCTTAAATGCCCAATGTTCATATATGTCTTCCTCTAAAGTAAATTTAATATGGTTTACTTTATTATTTTATTATGTTTTTTTTTAAAGTTTATGGAATTTCCTAAAAAAAACAAAAAAAATCGTTAAAATCGGACAACTAGGAGGAAAGATATGGTCTCTAGTTTTTTTCCCTGAAGAGGTGAAAATTTGGATAAATTTAAAATATATTTTTTTAATTGTTGGGACTAAAAAAACCTTTTTTCTACAGATATTTAATAAAAGGTCTTTCCTAAGAACATCTTTCATGAGAAAGTAGTACCTAAATTTATACTTTTATTCTCAGTGCTATATTTCAACACTGCAATCACCACCTCTGGAATCAACTTACTCATTGTCTGCATAGATAACTTTTTCAACTAAAAATATCACTAAGATGACATCACTGAAAAATGTTGAAATTGGAGTTAGTCATTCTGTGGTTTATAAAAGCAGATAGAGTGAATAGATTTTTATTGCCTGTCGTCGATATATTAAATAGACGTTTTGTAATTATAATGGTCTTAATGACTTGTTATCTGTAAGCTTTAGCTCCGTTTAAAATACACTTCAAAAAATTTTATAACAGCGCAGCATTGCCAGAAAATAATTTCTATTCAAAGTAGATCGGTAAGTGAAAGTTGTGTGTTGCGCGCACCAGATTTTTTATAGATATTTTCAAGTATATATAATAAGTAAAACAAAAAACATGAATAAATAAAAAACCCTATACTTATACAAACATGTAAACAAATGAGTTTTAAATATACAATATTATATTTGTTCGTTTCACAATAATTATATAGAATTTTTATACATGGTAAAAACTACGACCATTTATTTTTTTTCATCGCCTCCTCCCCCCAATCAAAAAAAAGTGTGCTCTCATGATACAGTCATGTATATAGATTTCTAAAAACTACGTTTTCGATTGGATTAACGATTCATTTCTAGGCAATAAAATGGCTACTTTATTATTTCCAATTTTTATTCTCGTGTTTCAGAGATATGTTCGCCCAAACATCCCTAATGAACTCATCTCATATAAAATGATCAATATTTTCTTATAGCCTATTATGATAATATTACACTTCAAAAAATTTTATAATAGCCCAGCATTGCCAGAAAATAATTTCTATTTAAAGTAGATCGGTAAGTGAAAGTTGTGTGTTGCGCGAACCAGATTTTTAATATTGGTTTTGATATTACTATTGAAATGTAAAACATAGTTTTTTTTTTGCGTTTCCTAAAAATATGTTCATAGTGATCAGTGTTCACTTTGGAAATAAACTACTCATTTTTAATAATATAGAATGAGCCAAAGTTTCTATTTCGAATATTTTTAAATTAATATAATATACTCGCTATTGTACATATATATATATATATTTTATTTGTGTATATAAACCTGGAGGGAAACGGCTTGGTGGAGTGGACTCCAGTATGAGAAGAGCAAGAAGCACCGCCAAGAGTATGAGGAACCACATTCTCCTGAGGACTGGTGCTCTCGACGAGCTTCGGCCCTTTTATAACCTGCCGGCAGGACAAAAAGACAATGGCCACTATTTTTGAGATTCTCCTCGACTCAATTTATTCCTGACCTACGCCCTCTCGCTTCCGGATTATTTTGAGACACATTCGACGCGAAATCCTTTAGTAACATCCATAAACCAGGGTTTGGAATCGATAATTAAAAAATCAAAATCAAAACTGAGCAAAAATTTAATCTGGAATTTAAAAAAATCATTTCATGATTTTTATTTTTTAAAATAAATTATAAAGATCATAACCTGATGATTGTATTTGAACTCAATTTTTACAATTAAAAATAATAATAATTCTTGAGTAATACTTTCCTAAATCGGAAATATTTTTTTGTAATCCATATGATATATTTTGATCCTAGAAAAAAAAGAAAGAAAAATAAACTGGGTAATTTTACCTCACAGCCAAAATATTTAACAAAATATTTAAAAATATATCACCTCACTTATTGAATTTTAAATACTATCAATTTAGTTAACTACCCTGTCGGCAAACCAATATTTTCTACCTCTTCTTTCAGTCTTCAAGTATCAATGTTTTCTAATTAATACAGGGACAATCAGGGATTTTTGGAAATATATTCTACCAATAAATAATTTATTATTTTTTTTTAAATATTTATTCTGATGTTACTATTGAAATGTAAAACATAGTTTTTTTGCCTTTCCTAAAAATATGTTTATAACGATCAGTGTTCACATTGGAAATAAACGACTCATTTTTAATAATTTAAAATGAGCCAAAATTTCCATTTCGAATATTTTTAAATAAATATAATATACTCGCTATTGTACAGAGATATATTATTTGTGTATATAAACACGGAGGGAAACGGCTGGGTGGAGTGGACTCTAGGATAGTGAAACACTATTTTTACAATTAAAAATATTAATAATTCTTGTATATACTTTTGATTATTATTTTGTTCTATTTATTTTATTTTTTTGTACATATGGTGGGAATGTCACCCTACCTCACTATAACCAATGTCCAAGAGACAGATTGTTATAATACTCAATAAAGAAATAAAAAATAAAAAAAAATAATTCTTGAGTAATAATTTTCTAAATCGGAAATATAATTTGTTTGTAATCTCTATGATATATTTTGATTCTAGAAAAAAAACAAAAATATACTGGGTAATTTTACCTCACAGCCAAAATGATCACATCACTTCTTGATTTTTAAATACTATTAATTTAGTTAAATACCTTGAAAACAAGCCATTATTTTATTTTATTTTATTTCAGTCTGTTTGTGATGGAATAGACCATTACAAATCGACCATTTTTTTGGTCTTATGTTTCACCCTTCGAGGAGATAATTTTTTAAGTGTTCTTCGCTAGAAATTTCGTGTTTTCAAATTTCGACCTCCAAGTTTGTCCACAGGTGTTTGTTCTATCATATTAAGATTTGGTGATTGTAGTGGAGTTATTGATATTGGAGTTAATAGTGATTGTAGAAAAGAACCAATTTGAAACAACAAGCGTTTTATTTAAAAGAGTAAAATAAATTTTACAAATATTAAGATTACATTATGGAAATATTTTATAACAATGCAATTTGGGAATAAATAATTAAGTAGTCTTATGGAAATTATTATTAATACATTGAATTCTAATAAAATCTAATTAATGGTAAAAACAAAGCAGGAAGACATCGTCACTTTATAGAAAAAAGTCATTAATTAAAATTTCCTACACTTGAATCATTAAGAATTTTCCCTTAGTGAAATCAGAAAATTTTGGTCTTGTTGTTACTATATTTGATATTTACAAGGGTTTGTTTCATTTAGTACATTCAATGATTTTTTTCTTTCGATAATAAATAAGGCAGAAATTCCCAAAAACTTTCGTAGAAGTCCAACTCCATCCCAAATTTACTTAGTGATATTTTGCAATAAACTAACGATATTTTTATTATATTGTCCATTTTTTAAATATCATAGCCGAAGGAATTGGAATAACATGAAATACACTACTATTAATGTTCAGAAAAAATTAACTAATTTGGAGAAAGAAAGATCACAACTTACATGATATTGACGCAATACAACTGAAGAATTTGAGGGTGTCCCCTTACAATATATTGACCTCAATTATATTGCTTAAATAATATTCGCTTGATAATATTGACTGTGTAAAGCCGCTTAGTACTCTGATCCCAAATAGTGTTACCCAAAATCGGTCTTGGTCTTGCACTCCCTAAATAATACACTGTCAATGTATTCACAAACTTCGCTGCTATTATATGCATATTATATGAAATATTTTATATGGCATTATGCTGTCTATATGAGCGATGTCCTTCATGCAAGAATCTAGTATGTTTTTCTTTTTTTTTTTTGTTTATTCAATGACATTTACAAATATATAGAGAGAATCACTTTATTATCTTAAAAGGGTGCTGCCCAATTACATTGGGTTGCTTTAAACACAGCATACTTATTAATCGCTACAGACAATTTTCCAAAACTAATATACAATTACATATGCATTACAAGTACATATGCACAAGTGAATTATATACAACAAGTGAATATGCAAAAATTATAAATAATGACATGATCAGGCTTGAAGAGATACTACCGAGTGGTAGCACTCCCTAAATAATTCTAGGTAAGATCACGAGGCCATCTCCTTTTCAGACGCCTAGGAGGATTATCAGGAATCGAGGAAGAAGCAAGGCTAGAAACAAGTGGATTGGGATGGGGCTGGAGTTTATCATGAAAGTATAGATATCTGGCTCGGACTAAATCAGCGATATGAGGTCTTTATGAATGGTTTTATTTCTGACAAAGTATGGAGCATTAAGGATTTTACGAAGGATGTTGGATTGTAATGATTTGATATGATAGGAATTCGATGGTTTGGTGAAGCCCCAAAGCTCAACTCCGTACGTCTATATAGGTCTTATTATAGTTATGTAGATGAGTGTTTTCTAATTAATTAATTAATTTATTGAATGATTTTAATTAAATCATGCACTTTGCAAGACCAAGACCGCCTAACTGTTGCAAGACCAAGACCAGGACTGGTAAAAAAAAATCGATTTTTTAAATAAAAATTAAGGCAAAATAGTTACTAATACTTGACAATCTTAGTTACTTTATGTTAATAATTGTTATAACCAATATACTTGTGCATTTAACTCCTCAAAGTTTTCATTCGGTCTTATTAGGTTTCTCCTATCTAAAAAAATACAGAAATATCTCTATAGTAGTAAGCTAATAAGTAACTGAAAGATTGTTGCGAGACTCTTGCACAAGACCAAGACCATGAGTTTGTAAGACTAAGACTCATCTCGGTCTAACATTTGGACTACACTAATCCCAGATCGCTCCAGTTATCGTGAGAAGGATTTTCCGAGACTTCTTTATAGGTTGCTGGTCTCGCAGTCGTATATCAGAAATGGCTTTATCGTAGCATTGTACACCCTTAATTTAAGATCCCAAGAGATTTTTGGGTTTTTCAATTTCTTTGAAAGAGAGAAAAAAACTCAGTGACAAATGTTGATAAAGCGGAACTATTCAAATATTTAATTGTTCCCATTAAATCTGTCTTATCTTGAACTTTAATTCATTGCAAACTTTTTCCCCTTCTTTCAAAGAATAAAAATACCGAGTCCTAAAGTATTGGTATTTCGATACATTTTAACTACAGATATTACATGCGCTGATATTTGTGATAGATATTTACATTTCTATAGCCAAATGTATTAACATTTATTAATTTAAAAATACTTATTACTGAGAACAAGAGATAAATCAATTGAATGTCCCGATATAAAAAAATAGAAAATATATGGAAGAAAATAAAAATTGTTTTAATAATGCTTTTTATTTTATTTACTGTACATAGAGTGTGAATGTGATCTGTGAACACTATTATAAATGTCCTTGAGACAGATTGTAATATTTAAAAAAAAAAATAATAATTAAAACCGATAAAACTTTTGAAAATAATATTTTCATTAAGAAGAACAAAAAAATCGAACCAATTATTATTGTATGATTGTGTGGAAAATATTCTAACTTTATGTGTGCCACTAATGAAGCCGCTTTTTATTTATTGTTTATTTAAATTTTTTGAGGTGGGAAGGAAATCGGTTTTCGATTGTCTAATTTTAATGTCAGTTAATTTTTACATACATTTATATTTTTCCATGAAGACATAACGTACCATTTAATTTATATTCGCTGCATATATATTTATATAATAGCATTAAAATTTGGTTGTTATGTACATCACTAATAGAATAACATTAATATTAAATTTCAATAAATATTAACATTCAACAGTAAATATTCAATGTTTTCTTTTCTAAAATTTACAACATGAATTTATCTTTACAATTATTAAAAAAAAAATCCTTGGAATTTTGGAAAGTGCGGCTGGATAAATGAAAACCTTTGAGTCCCTAGAAAGAATAAACTGCCTTCTTGCTGTTAATAATTTATAGGACTTCAACTTCCTACCTGTGAAAGTTTTTTTTAGTTTTTTAACTGTAAAACACGTAGTAGAAGACTGTCGGAATGTTTTTTTTTTTTTTTTGTTTTTTTTTTTATTTTAATGAAATTTACAACTGTATTACATAGAAAATACAATAAGTAAATGTGACATTGGTAACATGACATGTACAGCATGAAGAGAAACTACCCATTGGTAGAACTCAAATTAAAGTTCTATATTAGAAGGTCCCGAGGCCATCTTCTTTTCAGACGCCTCTGAGGGTTATCAGGGATCGAGGAGGAAGCATGGTTTGAAACGACAGGATTCGGATGGTTCTGCAGTTTGTTATGGAAGGATAGGTATCTGGATTGGGCCAAATCGGAAACATATGGAACATTAAGGTCTTTATGGATGATTTTATTTGTGACAAAGTAAGGAGCGTTGAGGATATTACGAAGGATTTTGGATTGTAAGGATTGGATACGAGAGGA